TAGTTTTTGAGCAAAGGTAGGCCAGAGGTTTCGGAGTTACAGAGCTAAATTTAAAAAAATGGTGTTTTTGAGGAGAACTAAGCGTCCGATTTAAATGATTCAAAGAACTTTCTGCTTTTTTCAACAAAACAATTGATTTTGGAAAAAAAAAATTTTTTTTCTAATTTTTTTCAAAAAAAATTTTTTTTGTAATTGGACTAAAAATTCAAAAATCACCCAAGCTAAGCACAGTCTAAGCGCCACTCTGGTACAAATGTTTACCCAAATGCGTTTAGACTGTTTGTGTACTGGAGCACTTTTCCAATTTGTGAAAATTATTGAAAATGTGAAAATGCCGCCAAACTGAGCACAGTATAAGTGAAAATATCGCACAGAATTATTTGCAAATGCGTTTAGACTGTGACTATGCGGGAGCACTTTTTCAATTTTGTGGAAATTTGGCAACTATTTTTTTTTTTGAAATTTGATTCGAATGAAATGACGATTGTTAATGTTCTGGAGGTGATAAATTGATTTATTTATAATTAACTTTCCGTAGGGTAAGTTATAGTAATCGCACAAAAATCGAAAATGAAAATTTTTATATATCTTTACGTTTCAAAGGTTTCTGAATATATTGGCATACCTTAGAGAAAATTGATGTATGTGTGTGTATGTGTGTGTGTGCGTGCATTTGTGTGTTTCAGATACAAATTTTCGTCGACGATTTCGGGAATCGGGATGAAGCAATTTGAATAATTCAAAACATTTTACTTGCATTATCAAGATGAAGATTTGATGAAATTTTTATGAAATTAGGTCTAGCGGTTTCGGAGATCTAGTAAAAAAAGTAAAAAAAAATAACATTTGGCGGTCAACAATAATCATTAGACATTAGACATATGCACATCAAATTATCAGATATTTTATAGAGATTTTAACAATGAGTATACATTTGTAACATTCCTATGGGTTCCGTACCAATGCTTATGCGTTAGACAGCGACGCGGCGCTACGCGCTTCGATATTTAGTCTCTATGCATTAAAGCAGTACGATTGCTTTGAAAAAAAGTTCAAATTTCCAAAATATTTCAAAATAAATTTTTCAACAAAAACTTTTGTCAAAAATTTATATAGTTCCTCAAAAATCTATTTTTTTTAGAGTAATTTTTTTTAAAAAATGTTAATCTTTTCAAAAAAAAATAATTTTTGGTACGGGAAGTTCCAGCAATTTGCCTTAAGGCACGATGCCATGCGCCCCACTAGTTTAAATAATTATTTTATTAAGGGAGCAAAACAATTTTCATAATAAAAATCTTCATAATGATTTAGATATATATTTAATTTTAATCAAATTCTTAATTATCATTTACAAATTTATACTAGGCTGTGACGTCACACAAAAAAGCGTATTATTAGTATAAGTGTAAAAAATGTTTTAATATTTCCTAAAATTAGTTTCAATATTTTTTTTAAACAATTCTAAAAGACTATTATATTAATAAATGGATCGGTATTCGAGTTATTCCAACAATTATTAATTAGTCGGTGTAAAATTATTATTATTAATTATTAATTTCACACCACCACATTACATTTGGTAGTTATCTTAAGACTTTCGGAAAAGAAAACCTTTAAAAGCCTTAAGATTTTAATTCTATTAATAATTATTTTTGGACGAGTTTTGAATTTGAATTTGGCGGTTAACCGTTAATACAGTTTAACGTGCGGCAACACTTTTGTTTCGATTTTGGGGTGTGGTAACACGCCGGTTGATAGTTTTAAGGCCTGACCAAAATGGCTGTTGACAGTTTGAAAAGTTGACAGTTTAATTTCAAAATTTCAAATGAAATTTAAAAAATAAAGCAAGATGAAAAGGAACTCTACTGACGTGCAAACTACAGAAACAATATAAAAAAGGACTTTACTGACGAAAAAATTAGGTAACAATTTTCACAACAAATTTACTATGCCATGTTAGAGAGCAAAGAACTCTACTGACGAGCAAACTACAGAAATGAAATAAAAGGGACTCTACTGTCGAAACAAATTGATTTACTGGCTGTAAAACCGAGAAAAATAAAAAGCCAAAAAAGAGAACTCTACTCGACAAGAGCATAAAAAAATTATAATGTTATTTTGGTAAAAAGGGACTCTACTGACGAACAAAACTGATTCACAGCCTGTAAAATCTGTCTTTTATTGTCGAACAGAAAAAAAAGTAAGAAAAAGAAACTCTACTGACGAGCAAACTTAGTACGAATTTCTATCATAAAAGCAAATAATAACGTTATTTTGGGAAAAAGGAACTCTACTGACGAGCAAACGCGAATTTCCATGACATAAGCAAAAAAAATATTAATGTTATTTATGTAAAAAAAAAAACTCTACTGACGAGCAAATTTAAAATCTTTTGTAGACAAAGGAACAAGTATGATGTCGTATTATAGAAAAAAAGGACTCTACTGATGAGAAAACTATAGTAGTACTTCTATTTGTGTGACAAAAGTGCAACAATTTTTTCTTTTATCAAAAGAACTCTACTGACGATCAAACTAACTTTCAATTTGTGAACTGGAGAAAAGGGACTCTACTGACGAGCAAATTAAATATCAAATACTGTAAAAAATAATATAGGTAGAAAACGAACGTACAAAACTAAAAAGAAACTCTACTGACGAGCAAACCGAATTTCGAAGTTAAAAAATTAAGTTAAACACAAAAAAGAGAACTCTACTGACGAGCAAACCATCTGTTACTAAAGCGAAAAAAATATGGTGTTTTTGTAAAGAAAAGAACTCTACTGACGAGCAAATTAAAAAAATCATTTTGAAAACAATACTACTATGTCAGGATAAAGAAAAAGGGAATCTACTGACGAGCAAATTGAAAATTTCAATTATTATAACAAAAGCGAGAAATTGTTAAAAATTATTTAAAAAATATTGTTATTTTTGGATAGAAAAGAACTCTACTGACGAGCAAATTAAAAAAAACAATTTGTAAAAACAGTACTTTTGCTTATATTGTTTATCATATTACAGGAAAAAAGACTCTACTGACGAGCAAATTCAAAATTTCAATTACTGTAACAGAAGCAAAAATGTTATTTATTATTTTAAAAATGTAATAATGTTATTTTTGTATAAAGAACTCTACTGACGAGCAAACTACATTTTCTCATACCGAAATAAGAAATTAAATATAAAGAAAGCTTTAGTGACGTCAAACTAAATTTCGAGGAACTCTACTGACGTTGTATGTTCTGCTCATTATATTTTGCTCGTCAGTAGAGTCTCTTTCGTCTTTTATTTCAATTTGCTCGTCAGTAGAGTCCCTTTTTCCTTCATTTGTATTATTTTTGTTACTTTTATCACAGAATTTTCTTGCATGTGTTGCATTTTAAAGACAAAAAACTGACGCTATAGAAGTATATTTTGGTTTCGAGCACAATTTTAGAGTATACCGACTTGCTGTAGGGCATTATGATGTTAGACAATATTGTAAATAATTTAATTTTGAACAAATTTTCCGAAGGCAACATTCATACTAAACAAATGGTTTAGAAGTCATGGCATTTATAAAGTAAAGTGACTACTTAAGCGAAATTCATTTTGATCCAACAAAAAAAAAAAAGAGGAAAGGACTCTACTGACGAGCAAATTTAAGTTTTGAACTAGAAGATAAAAAAGACTCTCTTGACGAACAAACTAATACAAGAAGGGACTATACTGACGAGCAAACTTAAATTTATAAGAAGAAGATTAAAAAGTACCCCACTGACGAACAAATTAATACAAAAAGTAACTCTGCTGACGAACAAACTTCCTTCAAACTTTAAAAATGTTCAGAAACCTTCAGAACGTCGAGAAATGCAAAAATTCTCGATTTTCGATTTTTGGCCCATTACTATAACCACCCCATCCAAAAATCCGCCTATCCAAAACTCGTCCAACATCAACCGCCCTATTTCCCTATATAAATCTTAGCCGGCGTCTTACTATTCGATTTGGTTGCACTCGACGTAGTGGGTCTCATAAACCCATTTTTGGGCCTCTGATTGCTGGAACTTCTAACAATACTAGAACCGCTGCTGGAACTTCTGCTAGCCGGAACATTTGCAGGTTTACCTAAATTCTCTTTAAAACTTTGGCCAGTAATTCTTACTGGTGGTTTTCTGACAAGGGTTGGCCCTACACTAGAACCGCTGGAACTGCTCCTACTGGCCGGAATTCTTGGTTTAGAGGAAGAAGATGGTAAAGGGCGTTTGTTAGGGTTTGTTGGAGGTGCAGGGCGGTTTATCATACGTAAAATAGGGGTTGAGGTGTTAGGGTTTGGGGTTGAAGTTTTATCTAAAGGCACTTTTTTGACAGTGTTTACTGAAGCGGTGCTGTTTAGGGAACTTCTAGAACTTCTCAGGCTTGTCCGGGAATTAGAACGTTCTACACTATTTTGGCTTTCGGTTTTACGCAAACTTGTGGACCTACGAGGGATGATAGTTTTTCTTGTAGGGTCTTCTGCACGTTTCAGCACCGGATTCAAGGACGTGCGCATACTTTTGCTCCTCGCCAAACTTTTATTGTTCCTATCAATCAGCGTTTTTAATTTATCCGAAACAACCCCGATGGCACATTTTGTATCAACTATCCCATCAGTTTCATAATTACAACCCGAAGAAGTCCCTTGACTAGGGCTCTCCGATACCAAACTTTGCGTCTCTTCAAACCCTTCGTCGTTTAAATCGTGTTCTCGGAGTTTTGGAGGCAAACGCACCACCAACTGTGTAACTTTATTACCTTTGGGCCATTTTTCATTTTTATTATCGACTTCATCGTCCCCTTGAGTTCTTTCCTGGTTTTTCAAACGTTCTTGCCACATTTTCAGCCTGGTTTCTTTATCACAGTTTTGGTCGACTGGTGGTGGTTCGGTTGTGGTTTGCTCCTGCACCGCCAGTTGGGAGGGGCGCTGCGGTTGGAGGTCGGATGGTGATTTTGGAGATGTGTCTTGGTCGGTACCTGGAAAAAAAATTAGTTTTAGAACATATGATATAGAATAAACTCGTTGGTGTCATTGGAATTTGTGCTATTATGAATTTTGATGTTTTTAGGCTGTTTTGGGGTATACAGAGTTGCTGTAGAGCTTTGTAGTGTTAGACAAAGTTGTAGATAATTTAATTTTCTATAAATTTGCCGAAGACATCATTTGTATCGGTCGAATGGTTTAGAAGTTACAGCATTTTGAACAAATGATGGGACAATGCGTTTAGTCGGCATCATTGGGATTCGTGGTATGAAAATGTCTTAGCGCTTTTAGACTGTTTTAGGCTATACCGACTTGCCGTAGAGCATTATGATGTTAGACAAAGTTGTAGAGAATTTAATTTTCTATAAATTTGCCGAAGACATCATCCATATTGATCGAATAGTTTAGAAGTTACAGCATTTTAAACAAATTAAGAGAAAATGCATGCAGTCGGTATCATTGGGATTCGTGGTATGAAAATGTCTTAGCGCATTCTGGCAGTTTTAGGGTATACCGAGTTGCTGTAGGGCATTATAATATTAGACAATATTGTTTATAATTTAATTTTGCACAAATTTGTCTTTTACATCATTCCTATCAATCGAATGGTTTAGAAGTTACAAGCAAAACAAAACAAATTTGTTTGTGTTTAATATTACAAATACAACTTTGCTTCCGCCGTTTTTACTATAGGAGTTCTTTACAATAATGGTGGAAGCAAAGTTGTATGTATAATATATTTCCAATTGATTTTATAGTATACCGAGTTACTGTAGGGCTTTATGATATTAGACAAAGTTGTAGATAATTTAATTTTACATAAATTTGCCGAAGACATCATTTGTATAAGTCGAATGGTTAAAAAGTTACAGCGTATCTAATAGATAAGTGCAGGATAACAGTCGGTATCATTGTGATTCACGGTATGAAAATATCTTGGTGCATTTAGACTATTTTAGGGTGTAGATAATTTAATTCTGCACAAATTTGTCTTTTACATCATCCATATTAATCGAATGGTTTAGAAGTTATAAATGTTTTTATAATCAAATGCAAGTGCAGAATTTAGTTGTAGAGCAAGAAAGAACTCTACTGACGACTGAACCGGATTTCGAAGTGGAAAATAAATGGGACTTTACCGACGAGCAAACTAGAACATAAGAAATGCTATCGAAGAATATTAATTTAGTCTTTTTCAAAAAAAAAAGAACTTTACTGATGAATATATTTAGAATATCCATTTAATAACCAAAATTATAGTTGTTGATAAAGAACTCCACTGACGAGCAACTTAAATATCAATTTTCATCGTGATGCATTATAGAAAAGGGACTCTACTGATGAGCAAACTAAAATAAAATGGAAAAGGGGCTCTACTTGCGAGCAAACTGAAATAAAAAGCAAAAGGGACTCTACTGACGAGCAAACTCAAAAAATGTAAAAGGGACTCTACTGACGAGCAAACTGAAATTAATCAAAAAGGACTCTACTGACGAGCAAACTGAGAATAAAATGAATGATCAAACGATTAAAAAGCAAAAGGGACTCTACTGACGTGCAAATTGAGAGAAATAAAATGTAAAAGGGACGAGCAAACTTAAAATAAAATGGAAAAGAGACTATACTGACGAGCAAAATAAAATTAAATGCAAAATAAAATCAAACTGAAAAAATTAAAAAGGGACTCTACTGACGAGCAAACTGAAACAAGGGACAAAAGGGACTCTACTGACAAGCAAACTGAATTAAAAAGCAAAAGGGACTCTACTGATGAGCAAACTGAAATTAAATAATAAGGGACTCTACTGACGAGCAAACTAAGAATAAAAGACAAAATGGACTCTATTGACGAGCAAAATAAAATAAGGTACAAAGTCGTTCTATGGTCGAACAAATTAAAATAAAAGACGAAAAGGGAATCTACTGACGAGCAAATTAGAAATTTAAGAAAAGGAAATCTACTGGCATGCAAACTAAAAATAATAGCTAGAGGGACTCTTCTGTTCCTCTTATTGTATTTCGCTCGACAGTAGAGTCCCTTTTATATTTTATTTTAATTTTCTCGTCAGTATAGTCCCTTTTGTATTTGATTCAGTTTGCTCGTCAGTAGAGTCCCTTTTTTTATTTAATTTTAGTTTGTTCGTCAGTAGAGTCTCTTTGCAGTTGTCTTGAAATTTGCTTGTCAGTAGAGTCTTTTTCTATTACAAACTACTTTACACCTAATTTTGTTCATAACAATAAAACTATTGAAATACATTTGTGCCAAAGAAATATTAAAATAATGTGTTCGGAACCCTATTGGTTTGTCAAGTCTGTTACTATGATATTTGGTTAGGGCTCGTCGAGACCTTTCATTTGATACCCAACATGCCTATATTTGAAGTAAAACTTCTCAACTCACTTTTGACCCGCTGTACTGTTTATAGTACAGCAAGTGCATTTATTCAATGTCTCGTGTAACATGACCTTGCCATAACATTAGTGTGTTAAAATCGGCCAATTGATGAATCTGAATTCTTATTACATAAGGCAAAATGCCACTTACACGTACTAATAAATTAGTTATTATTTCACATACCGCTTACATAATCCGTACTCCAAATTATATAATATTGTCTAGTATAATAGCACTCTACAGCATCTTAGTATACTTCAAATGATCAAGCATTACAAATTATTTACTGAATAAATAGTGTGTACGGAACCCTATTATTTTATTGTGTTTGTGAGTATGTTATTTAGATAGTGCTCTTCGAGACTTTTCATTTGATACCCAACATGCCTATATTTGAAGTAAAACTTCTCAACTCGCATTTGACCTGCTGTACTGTCTATAGTACAGCAATATTTTTGAAGTGCATTTATTTATTGTATCTCTTGTAACTTTTATATGGTTTGTCCAGAGTGTATGAAATATTCGACAAATTTGCGCTCATTTCACTTATCTATAATTGTACTTGATATCAAAGCTTAAGTCGACTCGGTATACTTTAAAATTGCTTAAAAAACAGGAAATTAGTTTTAAATATTAGATGTATGTAAAAGTACGAAACCCTGTCGGTCTGTTTTCGACTTCAATGATATATTTAAATAGTGCTCGTCGAGACCTTTCATTTGATACCCAACATGCCTATATTTGAAGTAAAACTTTTTAACTCACAATTGACCTGCTGTACTGTTTATAGTACAGCAAGTGCATTTATTCAATGTCTCGTGTAACATGGCCTTGCTATAACATTAGTGTGTTAAAATAGGCCAATTGATAAATCTGAATTCTTATTACTTAAGGCAAAATGCCACTCACACCTAATAATAAATTAAAATTCCACTCACCGCTTGCATAATCCGTACTCCTCTTATACCTCCGAGTCCTCCTGGCCGAAGAAAACCTATCAAACTGGCCATCGCCCAAAACCTCGGCCAATTTATTTTCAGCCTCTTTATTAGCCCCCAGACTATCCTTTGGCACAAACCCATCCTTCAACGTATAACCCAACTCCTTACCCACTTCACCACCTACATCCTTAATAATACTCCCGCCATCTCTCGTCGGACTAAACAATCTCCTAGTAGCAGGCGGTGTTTCTATGTTATCAGAATCTATATCTGTTTGTTTAGGTTGGGCTAGCAGTTTCTTTTCGGCCTTAGGCGACAGTCTCATGTACAGGGTGAGTCTGTCAGTCGCCGGCCTGTCGCCTAAAGACGCTATTATGTTTTTACGGTGCCTGTCGTCCTCTTCGTGGATTGAGTTGAGAACCGAACCGGTGGGTGAAGTGGGTGATTTTAGGGTTCGGTGCGGTTGCGGTTGGTGGCGTCGGGCGTTTCGTCGAAGTTCGGCTTCGGTGTCTTCGGTTGAATTCGGCACGTTTAGAGTGGATTTGCGCCAGGCTGATTTGTCTTTGACTTGCTGGGGTTGGCTTCTGAAAAAAAAATAGTCGGGTTCATTGGAGTTGGTGGTATGAGAATGTCTTGGTGCGTTTAGGCTGTTTTAGGGTATACCGAGTTGTTGTAGGGTGTCATGATGTTAGATAGAGTTGTAGATAAATTAATTTGGAACCAATTCGCCATTTAAATCTTTCATATTAATCGAATGGTTTAGAAGTTATGGCATTTATAAGGTAAAATGATAAAAGTTGAGATCATTGTGATTCGTGGTATGAAAGTATCTTAGTGCGTTTAGACCGTTTTGGGCTACACCGAGTTGCTGTAGGGCTTTATGATGTTAGACAAAGTTGTAGATGATTTAATTTTGAACAAATTTGCCGAAGACATCATTTGTGTAAATCGAATGGTTTAAAAGTTACAGCGTATTTTATAAATAAGTGAAGGATAACAGTCGGTATCATTGTGATTCGTGGTATGAAAATGTCTTGGTGCATTTAGACTGTTTTAGGGTATACCGAGTTGCTGTAGAGCATTATGATGTTAGACAAAGTTGTAGATGATTTAATTTTACACAAATTTGCTTTTTACATCATTTATATAAGTCGAATGGTTCAAAAGTTATAGCGGTTATAATAAATGAGTAAAGAATAACAGTCGGTATCATTGTGATTCGTGGTATGAGAATGTCTTAGTGTTTTTGGGTTGTGTTAGGGTACACCGAGTTGTTGTAGGGTGTTATGGTGTCAGACAATATTGTAGATAATTCAATTCTGCACAAATTTGCCTTTTACATCATTCATATTAATCGAATGGTTTAAAAGTTATAGCGTTTATAATAAACAAGTGAAGGATAACAGTCGGTATCATTGTGATTCGTAGTATGACATTCATATTAAACGAATGGTTTAATAAGTTATGGCATTTTGCACACTAAAATAGAATACAAACGAGACTCTACTGGCCAGTAAATTAATTAATATAATAGAAAAAAGGAACTCTACTGACGAGCAAATTAAAATAGAATGCAAAAGGAACTCTACTGACGAGCAAACTAGAATAATAGACAAAAAGGAACTCTACTGACGAGAAAACTTAAATAAGAGACAAAAGGAACTCTACTGACGAGCAAACTAATAATAAAAGAAAAATGGATTTTACTGGCGAGCAAATTGAAATAATAGAAAAAAAAACTCTACTAATGAGTAAACTAAAATAAAAGACAAAAAAGACTCTACTGATGAGCAAACTCAGATTATGAAAAAGGAATCTACTGACGAAAAAGCGAAAAATAATAGAAAAATGGACTCTACTGACGATGAAACTAAATTTGTAAAAAAATCTGATTTATAACAAAAAGACTCTACTGACAAGAAAACTAAAAATATAAGAAAAAGGGACTTTACTGACGATCAAACTAGATTTGTAAAAAATATTATAGTTCAGAAGGGACTCTACTGACGAGCAAATTAATTACAAATTATATTCTATTAGAAAAATCGATTTGTAAAATAAGAACTCTACTGATTGAACAAAATAAAAATGACACAAATATGAACTAAAAAAAGAAAAGAACTCTACCTACGACGAAACTGAATTTACACTTGAGCACTTGAAGAGACTCTACTGACAATTTTCACTTGTTAAGGAAAAATTCTATATAATGCTGCTTGCTATCAAGATGGCTCAGGACTCAAAACAAATTCAATAAATCTATTCAAAACCTTTGTGGAAAATTTGATATCATACTGCTTGATATCTGGCTGACTGAAAGGATAGAAGATAGGATCATTGGGATTCGTGGTATGAGAATATCTTGGTGCGTTTAGACTGTTTTAGGGTATACCGAGTTGTTGTAGAGCATTACGATGTCATCATTCATATTAATCGAATGGTTTGGAAGTTATAAACATTTTTATAAATAAATTGCACGTATAGAATTTATATTCACATTCATAAACACGAAGGAAATTTTGATATCATACTGCTTGATATCGAGCTGGCTTAAACACCACGATCTCCAAACAAATTTAATATAACTCTTTGATAAATAATTATTATTTATTTTTTAAGACCAATCTTACCTAAGTGTTCCTTTGAACATCATTCCGCTGTTGTGCGTGTGTGCGTGTGTGCGTGTGTGTGCGTGTGCGTGTTAGTAATTAATTACTTTAACATAACTAATTATTGTTTTTCAAAATTATTTTTTATTTTTTACCTTCAATAGCCTCCATAGTCCTAACAACATCGGTTTTGTCCAAGGCGGAGGTCTTCCAGTCCGTGTAGACCCTTTTGTAAGGGGCCCCGTTGTGCTGTTGGGCCAGTTTGCCCTCCGGTAAGGGGTCCAGGGTCGAACTGCGCTCGCTTTCTAAAAAATTGCGAAAAAACGTTCAAATATACTTATAATATACGATTTTATTGAATTTATACTAAACGAGCTTAAAGAAGTTTTACTTCAAAAAATGAAGATAGTGTTTTTTTGGCGTGTTGGGTATCGTTTGAAAGGTCTCGACGAGTAGAAGCCGATTTTCACAATTATTGTAATAAAATCCTTATTAATCTTTATTGCAAAATATTTTAGAATGTTAAAATTTATTGATTTTTTTTTCTTAATAATTTCAATATAATGTTTTGTAACGAATATTATCATTGATTATTTGATATGTACACAAAATATATACTTTTTTCGAATTTGTAGTAGGCGAGTCTAAAGAAGTTTTACTTCAATTTTTTATTATATTTTTTATGGCATGTGGGGTATCGTTTGAAAGTTCTTTTTGAGGAGAATCCGAATATTGTAATTATTGATATGATTAATACACAAGGTAAACACTTTTCACGAATTTGTAGTAGAGAAGTCTAAAGAAGTTTTACTTCAAAAAGTGAAAATGGTTTTTTTTTGGCATGTTTTATTAACTATATGGTTAGTATACAAGTTATACACGTTTTACGAATTTGTATTAGACGAGCTTAAAGAAGTTTTACCTCAAAAAATAAAATGGTGATTTTTATGGCTTGTTGGGTATAGTTTCAAAGGTATTTTTGAATAGAATCCGAATTTTGTAATTAATCATGTGATTAGTTCCCAAATTAAACACGTCTTGCGAATTTGTAGTAAACTTAAAGAAGTTTTACTTCAAAAAATGAAAATGGCGGTTTTTGGCGTGTTGAGTATCGTTTGAAAGGTATTTTTGAGGGGAATCCGGATATTGTTATAAACTATGTGGTTAGTACGCAAATTATACACGTTTTACGGATTTTTAGTAAACGAGATTCAAGAAGTTTTACTTCAAAAAGTGAAAATGGTGGCTTTTTGGCATGTTGGGTATCGATTGAAAGGTCTTTTTAAGGGGAATTCGAATATTGTAATTAACTATAAGGTTAGTACAGAAAATATACAGTTTTCACGATTTTTAGTAAATGAGCTTAAAGAAGTTTTACTTCAAAAAATGATAATGGTGTTTTTTTTTGCATGTTTGGTATCGTTTGAAAGGTCTTTTCGAATAGTATTCGAATATTGAAATTATTCATGTGATTAGTCGGCAAAGTATACACTTTTTACGAATTTGTAGTAGACGAGCTTCAAGAAGTTTTACTTCAAAAAATGAAATTGGTGGTTTTTTGGCATGTTGGGTATCGTTTGAGAGGTCTCGACGAGTAGAAAACGATTTTCACAATTATTGTAATAAAACCTTATTAATCTTTATTGCAAAAATTTTTAGAATGTTAAAATTAATTAATTTTTTTTCTTAATAATTTCAATATAATGTTTTGTAACGAATATTATTATTAATTATTTGATATGTACACAAATTATACGTGTTTTACGAAGTTTTAGTTAATATTGTAATTAAGTATGTGATTAATTCATAAAATATACATTTATTACCAATTTATAGTAGACGAGCTTAAAGAAGTTTTACTTTAAAAAATGAAAATGGTGGTTTTTGGCATGTTAGGTATCGCTTGAAAGGTATTTTGAGGAGAATCTGCATATTGAAATTAACTTTGTGATTAGTACACAAAATATACACTTTTTGAGAATTTATTGTGAACGAGTCCAAAGAAGTTTTACTTAAAAATATTTTCATTATATCTTTTATGGCTTGTTGGGTATCGTTTGAAAGGTCTTTTTAAATAGAAATCGAGTATTGAGATTAATTATGTGGTTAGTACACAAAATATACACTTTTCACAAATTCTCAATAGAGGAGTCTAAAGAAGTTTTACTTCAAATATTTTTTTCATTGTATCTTTTATGACATGTTGGGTATCGTTTGAAAGGTCTTTTTGAATAGAATCCGAATATTGTAATTATTTATGAGCTTAGTACACAAAATATACACTTTTAACGCATTTGTAGAATACTAGTCTAAAGAAGTTTCACTTCAAAAAAAATTTATTGCACCTTTTATGGCATGAAAACGATTTTCACAATCATTGTAATAAAAACCTTATTAATCTTAATTGCAAAAAAATTTAGAATGTTAAAATTTCTTAATTTTTTTACATAATTATGATGCAAATTTTGATATAATTGAAACCTTTGTAGCGAATACTAAAATTAACTATGTGATTTGTACACAAAATACACGTTTTTCGATTTTTTAGTAGACGAGTCTAAAGAAGTTTTACTTCAATAAATATAGATTTTATCTTTTATGGCATGTGGGGTATCGTTTAAAAGGTCTCGACGACTAGAAAACGATTTTAAACTCAAAAAACATATTTTAACAATTTTCGTCAAATGAGATATGATTTTGTTATTTATTTTTCTTACCTGAATCTTCGAGCGACCTTCTGTTACTCGGAATCCTTCTGGACGACCTCCTGGTCAAATCCTGATTCTGCAGGTCTTCCTTTTCGTTAGCCTGAAGCCAGGATTCGATTTTTTGCCTCCATTCCCTTTAAAAGAAATCGAAAAATATACTAAATATATTATATATAATGAATAGTTACAGGAAAAGAGTCGGAATCATTGGGATTCGTGGTATGAGAATATCTTGGTACATTTTGACTGTTTTAGGGAATACCGAGTTGCTGTAGGGCATTATGATGTTAGAAAATATTTTAGATAATTTAATTTTGTACAAATTGGCTAAAGACATCATTTATATCAATCGAGTGGTTTAGAAGTTACAACGGATTTAGTAAATAAATGTACTTAGCATACTAGTTTCTATACCAAGATGCAAGAATTTCAAAGGCGATTTTGAAGTATACCGAGTTGCTGTAGGGCTTTATGATGTTAGACAATATTATAGACAATGTAATTCTGCACAAATTTGTCAGATACATCATCCATACTAATCGAATGGTTTCGGATTTGTAAAAGTTATAAGAAACATATGCACTATTAACTCGCTTAGATTAAATTTGAGTAAAATATTTTTTGAAGTATAAGGGACTCTACTGACGAGCAACTTTAACATGGTTTGATGAAAAATATTATTCAAACTGTGTTAAGCAAAAAGGATTCTACTGCCGAGCTAATTGTACTTGTAGAAAATATAAGTACAAGAAATATAGGTGTTAAATTTAGATTTTAATTATGTGGTGTTTTTAATTTAGATTTTGAAGTATACCGAGTTGCTGTAGGGCCAAGTGATGTTAGACAATATTTTAGACAATTTAATTCTGTACAAATCTGTTCATATCAATTGAATGGTGTAAGATTTATAAGTGATGCAAGTAGTAAATGCACATTTAGGACTCTGGGTTTTGAAGTTGTTTTTAAATTGGATTTTAAAGTATCCTGACTTGTTGTAAGACTTTAGTATGTTAGACAATATTTTAGATAATTTAATTTTGTACAAATTTGTCGAAGGCATCATCAATATCAATCGAATGGTTTAGAAGTTACAAAGGTTTTATTATAAATAAATGCAAAAAGTTAGTGCATTCAGAATAATTTCTAGTTTCAGTTACGATTTTAAAGTGTACAGAGTTGCCGTAGGTTCTAGTAGTCTCGGAAAACAAAAGAACTCTACTGACGAGCAAACTGTATTTTACAAATTGAAAAATATTAATTCAAAAAGGGACTCTACTGACTATCAAACTAGATTTGTGAAAATATTTTAGTTTAGAAGGAAATGACTCTACTGACAAGAAACTAAAAATAGAAAAGGCACTCTACTGACGATACACCTAGATTTGTAAAAAATATTATAATTTAGAAGAAGGGACTCTACTGACGAGCAAAATAATATTAAACTCTTCTAAAAGGCTTTGGTATATTAGACAATAGTGTATATAATTTAATTTTGTACAATTTTGCCGAATACATCATTTATATTAATCGAATGGTTTAGAAGTTACAAAGGTTTTATTATAAATAAATGCAAAAAGTCCGTGCATTGGGAATAATTTCTAGTTTCAATTACGATTTTAAAGTATACCGAGTTGCTCTGGAGCTCTGGTATATTAGGAAATATTGTAGATAATTTAATTTTGCACAAATTAGCCGAATATTTCATTTAAATTAGACGAACCGTTCAAAAGTTACAACAGATCTAACAAACAAATGCGCAGCATTTGCCTTAAAACATTCACCTTTAAAATCTACTTACAACAGATAGCGAATAACTTCTAGATTTCAAATACGATTTTAAAGTATAGCGAGTTGCTGTAGGGTTTTGGTATATTAGACAATATTGTAGATAATTTAATTTCGTACAAATTTGCCGAATATTTCATTTAAATCCGACAAACCGTTCAAAAGTTACAACAGATTTAACAAACAAATACAGCATTTACTTTAAAACATTTACCTTGAAAATCTACTTACAACAGATAGCGCTACTAAAAACTAAGTCGGTGCGTTTGTAATAACTTCTAGATTTTAAAGTATACCGAGTTGCTGTAGGGCTTTGTGATGTTCGACAATATTGTATATAATTTAATTTCGCACAAATTTGCCGAATATTTCATTTGAATCCGACGAACCATTTAAAAGTTACAACAGCAGATTCAACAAACAAATGCGCAGCATCTACTTTAAAACATTCACCTTAAAAATCTACCCACAATAGATAGCGCTACTATTAACTCATCATATATCAACACCTACACGCATACAAACATTTATCTAAGTACCAAACCCAAACTTTCATTACACCCTACATTATATTTATATTTATATTTATATTTATATTTATATTTATATTATATTTTATATATTTATATTTATATTTATATTTATATTTATATTTATATTTATATTTATATTTATATTTATATTTATAATTATATTTATATTTATATTTATATTTATATTTATATTTATATTTATATTTATATTTCAGCACAATTATCTATTTCTTACTTTGCAACGTATCTCGGCTTATTATTAACCATAGCCTGCTGTGATTGGTCCTGGTCTTGGCCCTGGCCCTGGCCTGGTGCTTGTGATTGGTCGTTCGTCGTCTGTTCGGCCAATGGCGATGGAGAATTCGCTCGTTCGCGTCCGCCGGCCCAATCAGTGCTCAGCAAATCGGGACGCTTGCGCGAAGCGCTGCCCGTGCGCGCGTGGCGAGCCCACGAACGATCTGAGGGAAAAATAGAATGAAAATAGAGAGCTCTTCAGGACGCACGGGATAGATATAAAATTAGTTGTATCTTGTGAAGGAGTGATGGTAGAGTTGTGAGAGTTTCACTTGTAGAACATGGAATTTTGTGAGGATTTTGAAAATTGTGGTCAGGATTTTTGAAAAAAATATTTGGGGTGATAAAAGTTTGTTGTAAGGATTTTTTTTGGGGTTTTGATTGTACCGTTGGATAGTGATGCAAAAATTATGGCGAATGACATTTTGTACCAACAAAATTTATTTATATTAACACTTACAAACAACAAAGTGTGTCGTCAATTTTGACGAGCTCTGCAGGCCACACCGTTTGTACTACAACGTTGCGAAAACGCTTATATCATACTACAACGTGACAACTATGTCAACAAATACTAAAAACGCGAAAATTGCTTACGCCTTGCCAGATGTAAACAAAAATTCTACAAAAATTGGTGACCCCAAACCTTAAACACAAAACTATCTCTTACCTAAGCTTCCCCAAGACTTTCTTTCCCTCGTACTGTCATGTCCGGAGGCCCTTAAAAATTCCATCAAATTCCCTTCGTCCTCCTCTGACAAAACGCGACTTCTCCGGCGTCTCAGGCTGCCATTTGGTGTAACGTCTGCAAAAATTAGAGGCATATGGTATAATTCATAATTTAGGGCCAATTTTTATTATTTTGAAATTATTTTTTTTCAATTTGAAATTGAGAAAATGGGTTTTTTATCACCTGGCGATGCACAACTGTCGTCTCGGTTTATATCGCCCGCAATGATGGGTCCGCCGCTATTGAAGGAGCCGAAACGTCGTCTCGTCAGGGCCGGACTGCCTGTTAAGGAGATTTCTTCTTCGGAACCGTTTGTTGCACGACGGGACTAAAATAAGAAAAATATAGAGTTTTGAATTTAAGTTTTTGGTTTTAAAAAGAGTTATTTTGTTTTTTGTTTTACCTTCATTTGCGGATATCCGGTCCTGGATTCGTAGAAAAGGGCGTCCACTAAATTGTTGTCTGAATCTGAGGTGGGTGTTCCTAATTGGCCAACTGCAAAATTATATAATATACTCGTATAGTCACAAGTAAATAGAAAAGAACTCTACTGACGAGCAAACTAATATAGATTTCCAATTATTCTCTCAGATCTTAGTCTATTTTGCTTGTCAGTAGAGTCCCTATTAATTTTCATGATCATGTTATTTGTATAGTACTCATCGACGCCTTTCATTTGATACCCCACATGCCATATATGACGTCAAAAAGTTTTAGCACAATGTTCAGCAACCCATTGGTCCACTTTTTATTATATCTCTTGTAACATTTAAACGGTTTGTCTAAAGTAAATTCTGTATTGAAAAATTCAACTATATAATCACATTAAAAGAAAAGTACTCTACTGACGAGCAAACTAAAATAAGGAACAAAATGAACTCTACTGACGAGCAAATTGAAATAAGAGACAAAAGGGACTCTACTGACGACCAAATCAAATAAAGCGCCAGAAACAAAAGGACAGCAAAATAAGAGAAAAATACTCTTTTAACTAAAAAAATAAAGTGGAGGCAATGTAACTATACTAGCAAATAAATTACATTGTAATGCTAAATTCAAAAGGCACTCTACTGACGAGCAAAAAAAAATGAAAAAACCTACAAAAATATAGAAACGGATTCTACTGACAAACTAACTATAAGAAAGGAAATATTTACAAAATAAACTGAATTAAAAAAGCACGAAACTAGAGATTTTTTCTCTTAAATTTATTTTGCTCGTCAGTAGAGTTCATTTTCTCTTTTTAAATTTAGTTTGCTCGTCAGTATAGTTCTTTTCTTCATTTATTTCAGTTTTTTTTGTCAGTGGAGTCCCTTTTTATTCTTTAGGGCATTAGCATATTAGACAAAATCTGAAACTTTTAGTTTGCTCGTCAGTAGAGTTCTTTTTTCTTCTTGATATTTAGTTTACTCGTCAGTAGAGTCCTTTCTTTCTATGAGTTTGCTCGTCAGTAGAGTCCCTTTTTTCTCTTGAATTCAGTTTGCTCGTCAGTAGAGTCATTTATTTCTTTAATTTCAGTTTGCTTGTCAGTAGAATTCTATTTTTTCTCAGTTTAGTATGTTAATATTCTCCAATAAGCTTTACAGCACTCTTTTAGACTACCACGAGAGAGCAAAAAAGAAAACAATACGAAATATCTTATAAAAAAGAAACCGAGTTAGATACATTAATTAATGCAAAATAAATACTATCGCGATTATTAACTGAGATAAAAACTACACTATAACCTAAGTCAAACCACACCATATCCTTCTACAAAATTTCATCAAAATCCATCCATTACTTCTCGAGTTTACCCCGGACGTACGTACAAACTCTCTTATTCCTCTTACACTATCTCCTCTTTCCCGGGTAACTAATCAATATAAAAACTATCCCATAACCTAAATTGCACCACATTACACCCATCCACAAAATTTCAACAAAATCCATTCAGTACTTTCCGACTTTACCCCGGACACACGTACAAACTCTCATATATTCCCTTACACTGTCTCCTTTTCCGAGCCAACTAATTAAGAAGAAAAAGAGAGAGAGAGATGACTGTACTAACAAACTAAAATAAGGGACAAAAGAGACTCTACTGACGAGCAAACTAAAAATAAGAGACGAAAGGAACTCTACTGACGAGCAAATTCAAATAAAATGAGAGAAAAAGAAACTCTACTGACGAGCAAATTGAAATAAGCAACAAAAATGACTCTACTGACGATCAAACTGTAATAAAATATAAAAGAAACTCTACTGACGAGCAAACTAAAATATAAGATAAAATGGATAAGAAAAGGGACTCTCTTCTATTTTTCAATGCGAAATAAGAAAGGACTCTACTGACAAGCAAACTGTATAAACAAGATAAAAAATCAGACTGGAATATGCGAAAAAATTAAAAATTAAAAATAAAGTGAAATAATATAAAAAAGGGACCACTGACAAAAAACTGAGACAATATAAAAAAGGGACTCTACTGACAAGCAAAATAAATTTAGTGAAAAGAGAACTCTACTGACGAGCAAAGTAATTGAATATTTCATGATAAATATTATATTGAGGAAAAAGATCTCTACTTATATATTCAATATTTATCTTGCTCGTCAGTAGAATTCTTTTTCCTTTTGAATTTAGTTTGCTCGTCAGTAGAGTCCCTTTTTTATTCTATCTCAGTATTTTTTTGTCAGAGTTCTTTTTTTTATCTTTATAAAATTTGCTTGCAAGTAGTGTCTATTTCAGTTTTTTGTCAGAAGACTCTCTTTTTTATATTATTTCACTTTGTAATTTTTTTGCATTTATACATTTCTACAAATTGTTCGTCAGTAGAGTCCTTTCTTATTTTGCACTGTATAATTAGTTTTATGGGTTTTCTTAAGTTCTTTTTTTCAGTTCAGTTTGCTTGTCAGTAGAGTTCTTTCTGATCTTGAAGTTTAGTTCGCTCGTCATTAGAGTTCTTTTCTTCATCCATTTCAGCTTGCTCGTCAGTAGAGTTCTTTTTACATTCTATTTTAGTTTTTCTTTTCAGTAAAGTTTCTTTCTTTATTTATTCCAGTTTTTCTTGTCACTTGTAATTGCTTGTAATTAGAGTCCCTTTTTATAATACTTTAGTTTTTTGTCAGTAGAGCCCCTTTTTCATATTGCATTATTTATATCTATTTTATCCCATTTTTATATCTTGTTTATACAGCTTGCTTGTCAGTAGAGTTCTTTCTCATTTCGCATTGAAAAATTTGGTTTGCTCGTCAGTAGAGTCCTTTTTTTAGTTAGTTTACTCGTCAGTAGAATTCTTTGTCCAACTTTGTTCGTCAGTTTGAGGTCTATCTTCTATATACACTTCTAGTTTGCTCGTCAGTAGAGTCCATTCAGTTCTTTCTGGGACACTACTGACAGGCAATTTAATAGAAAAGAAAGTGACCTTACTGACGAGCAAAATTAAGTGTTGAAAAAGGTTTCTACTGACGAGCAAATCAATAGATAAAAATGAAAAGAGACTACTGACGAGCAAAATTAAAAAAAGATTAAAAAAGGACTCTACTAACGAGCAAATTAATAAAAAAAATAAAAAGTGACCACAGATGAGCAAAATTTAAAAGAGAAAAAAGGACTCTACTGACTGAATAGAAAAAATGGCAAGGACTCTACTGACGAGCAAATTGAAACAAAGCAAAAAAACGAACTCTACTGATGAGCAAACTAAATGTTAAAAAAAAAGAAATTTATCTTGCTTGTTAGTAGAGTTCTTTTTTGCTCTCAGTAAGATGAGATTTTGTGAGACGTTGATCATGATTTTTGTATAGTGCTCGTTGAGACCTTTCATTTGATACCCCACATGCATTATTTTTACCATATGAAAATAGTTTGACCCAAGTTGGCCCACTGTACTATTTACAATTGCTGCTAAAACTGTAGGGCATTAGTATATCAGACAATATCTGGAACCTTTAGTTTGCTCGTCAGTAGAGTTCTTTTTTCATCTAATATTTAGTTTGCCCGTCAGTAGAGTTCCTTTTCTTTTAATATTTAGTTTGCCCGTCAGTAGAGTTCTTTTTTCATGAAACTTAGTTTGCTCGTCAGTAGGGTTCTTTTTTCTCTGGAATTCAGTTTGCTCGTCAGTAGAGTTATTTTTTCTCTTAATATTTAGTTTGCTCATCAGTAGAGTAATTTTTTCTCTCGAATTTAGGTTTTTGTCAGTAAAGTCATTTTTTCTCTATTAATTTTGCTCGTCAGTAGAGTCCTTTTATCTCACTTTTAATTTTGCTCATTAGTAGAGCCCTTTTATCAACACTTAAATTTGCTTTTTTCTCTTTTGTAACTTTGCTCGTCAGTAGAATCTATTTTTTTCTTATTTAATTCTGCTTGTCAGTAGAGTCCCTTTTTTATATTGTTTCAGTTTTTTGTCAGTAGAGGTCTGTTTTCTGTTCTGTTTCTGAGCTATAAGAAAACCATCATATTTCCTATAAAAAAAACTGCGTTGGATACATTTATATTATATTCCCCTTCTTACACTGTCTCCTCTTCCCAGCCAACTGCTCCTCTCTCTGTCTCCGTCTCTCGGCAGCGCGCTCCTCCAATACTCGGCGCCTCTCGTTCTCCGCCACCGCCTGTCTGAACCGAGTGCAAAAGCCGTGAAAGACGCGAAGGCAGTCCTCGAGTTTGAACGAAGCCGAATCCTCGCAGAAGAACTCGCTCAGAGATCGGCGGACGGATTCTAGTTCCGACATTGAACGGTGGAGGGACTCGAGTTCTCGGGTTGCTATCTGGAATGAGAGAAGATGGTGAGAGGTGGATAGAATGGTAGATGAGGTTGGTTGAGGTCTTGGAGTGGTTTGGAAGTTTGCTGATGAGTAAAGGGAAATAAGGGGCAGAAAGCGAGTCTACTGGTGAGCAGATTGAGGTGAGAGATAAAAGGGACTCTACTGACGAGCAAACCGAAATAAAATGGAAAAGGAGCCTTAGTGCTAAAGTCAGATATATTTTTTTTTCACTTTTGTTTGATAGTCAGTAGAGTCCCTTTTTTGCTTGTTAGCACTATTTCTTTTATTGTTCTATTAGTCTTCTGTTTTTTAGTTATGTTTAGTTTACCTTTTTAGTTTAGTTTAGGCCTTTCCTTTATTCTATTAATTTGCCCATTTTTTTTCAAGTTTTGTTTTATTTAATTTTGCTCGTCAGTAGAGTTCCTTTTTCTTACTTTATTTTAGTTTGCACGTCAGTAGAGTCCTTTTTTCTCTTACTTAATTTCGAAATTTGAAATTTTTTCAAAATAATCGAATAAAGAAAATGACTCTACTGACGAGCAATATATAAATAAATAAATAAAAGTAAATAATTAGAAAAAAAAGTGACTTTAATGATAAGCAAAATTAAAAGTGTTGAAAAAGAAGTTTACTGACAAGCAAAATTAAAAAAAAGGAAAAAAAGACTCTACTGACGAGCAAATTAAGAGAGAAATAAAAAGTGACTACTGACGTGAAAAATAAAAAAGAGGGGGAAAAATGGACACTACTGACGAGCTAAATTAAAAAAGAGGGAAAAAGGTCTCTACTAGCGAGCACATTAATAGAAAAATAAAAAGTGACCACTGACGCGAAAAATTAAAAAAAGAAAAATGGACTCTACTGACGAGCAAAATTAATCGACTAAAGAAAAGGACTCTACTGTCGAGCAGTATAAAGAGAAAAAAGTGACTCTACTGACGAGCCAACTGAAATAAAATGGAAAAGGGGCCCTAAAGTCAGTAAATTTGTTTTTTTTTTACTTTTGTTTGATAGTCAGTAGAGTCCCTTTCTTGCTTGTTAGTAGTATTTCTTTTACTATTAGTCTTCTGTTTTTCAGTTAACACTTTTAATTTTGCTCATCAGTAGAGTCACTTTTTTATATTAAGTTACTCGTAATTTTGCACTTTTTATTATTAATGTGCTCGTCAGTAGAGTCCTTTTTTCTCTCTTTTTTAATTCTGCTCGTCAGTAGAGTCACTTTTTTAACACTTATTTTTGTTCGTCAGTAGAGTCCCTTTCAATTTTTACGACTTTTTTTAAATTTCTTGATTATTGTGTTTTTTATTTTTGAGAGTTAATAGAGTCTTTTCTACTTTTTCATGCAATATAGCATTAGTTTGTTTGTAGAAAGGACTCTACTGACGAGCAAAATTAAAAAAGAGGAAAAGGGACTCTACTGACAAGCAAACTAAAATATAATGAAGTATAAGAAAAAATTAGTAAATTATTAGAATAAAGAAAAAATGAAAAGAGAAAAAAAGGACTCTACTGACGAGCATATTAAAAAAATGTCTACTAACGAGCAAATTAATAGAGAAATAAAAAAGGACACTACTGACGAGCAAATTAATCTAAAAATAATAAGTATCTACTGATGAGCAACGTTGAACAAGAAAAAAAAGACTCTACTGACGAGAAAAACTAAAAAAAGAGTAAAACAGAGACTCTACGTCAGTAGCAAACTAAAACAAAGTAAGAAAAACGAACTCTACTGACGAACAAACTAAAATAAAATAAAGGATGAGAAAAAATTGGCAAATTTATATAATAATGGACTCTACTGACAAGCAAATTTTGAACAAGAAAAACAGGACTCTACTGACGAGAAAAGTTAAAAAAAGAGGAAAAAAGGGCTCTACTAACGAGCAAAATTAAATGAGAGGAAAAAAGGACTCTACGGACGAGCAGAATTAGAAGTGTTTAAAAAAGGACTCTACTGACGAGCAAATTAATAGAGGAATAAAAAGTGACTTTACTGACGAGCAAAATTAAAAAAGAGAAAAAAAGGACTCTACTGACAACCAAACTAAATTTTTTTATCAAGAAACAAAATAAACTGTACAAAACAAATAAAAAGCGACGATTAAATCCGAACGAAAAATTTGTCAAAAATTGTTAAAATTTTAGTTAGTAATTTAAGTAGTTATTTTTTTTCTCGAATCTAGTTTATTCGTCTTTGTTCTTTTTAAAATTTTTTTGCATGCCAGTGGAGTTCATTTTTTCTTTTAAATTTAGTTTGTACGTCAGTAGAGTTCTTTTTTTTCTTAGAATTTAGTAAGCTCGTCAGTAGAGTTGTTTTTCTTCTAAAAATTTACTTAGCTCGTTCGTAGAGTGGTAACGAAATTTACGTGGCAATAAAAAAAGATATATATATATATATATATATATATATATATAACATATATCTTAATTCTTGTATTACATAATATAATTTTTGAACTTACTTGTAAAAATTCCTCCATTTGCTGCTTGATTTCCATCTCGGTCGTCGGTAAATCGATTTGTATTTTAATTTTTTTAATTCGTGCATCTAAAGCGTTTATTTCGTTGTGTAATTGTTCTACAGTTGTCCTGAAAAAAAAAACAAATTATAACACTATTGTTGAGTTTCTTATTAGTACATATTATTATCTTCAATAAATAAAAATACTAAATGTACGGAACCCTTTTGGTTTCTATAGTGTCTATGTATGATATTTGAATAGTGCTCGTTGAGACCTTTCATTTGATACCCCACATCTATTTTTTTCCATATGAAAATATTTGGACTCAATTTGGCCCTTTGGCCCAATTTTCAATACTTTTATTGCATTTTTGGGGTTTACTAAATCACCGCAAGGTTTCTAAACAAGACAAGTTTATTTAACATAAATTTACCGAATATTCGATTCATCTCAGACTCACGGTTCAAAAGTTACAAAAGATGTAACGAAAGTGGGCCAATGGGTTGCCGAACTATAAACAGTATAGCGGGGTAAAGATGTTTTCATTACAAATATGGCATGTGGGGTATCAAATGAAAGGTCTGGACGAGCACTTTACAAATACCACATTCACAGTCTTAAAAAAAACTACATACAAGCCATCTACTCCATTTCTAATGTAATTTTTTGCAATTTTCAAGTATACCAACTTGCTGTAAGGTTTCTATATTAGACAATATTATAGACAATTTAATTTAGTACAAATTCACCAAATATTCCATTTATCTCAGACGAACCGTTCAAACGTTACAAGAGATGTAACGAAAGTAGATCAATGGGTTGCCGAACTATAAACAGTACAGCGGGTTGAGATGTTGTGACGTCACATATGGCATGTGGGGTATCAAATGAACGGTCTCAACGAGCACTATTCAAATATAATATTCACAGTCTCAAAAAACCAATAGGGTTCCGTAAAAACCAATTGTTTATATTCTAACATCTATTTTAACTTGAATAACAATTCCTATACCACACAATATTATAGACAATTAAATTTAGCACAACTTCACCGAATATTCCATGTATCTCCGACCCACGGTTCACAAGTTACAAGAGATGTAACGAGGGTAGACCAATGGGTTGCGCGGAACTATAAACAGTACAGCGGGTAAAGATGTTTTCATTTCGAATATGGCATGTGGGGTATCAAATGAAAGGTCTCGAGGAGCACTATACAAATACCATACTCACAGTCTTAAAAAAACAATTTTTCATATTCTAATACCCATTCTAACTTGATATAAGATTTCTATACTAGATTATATCATAGACAATATAATTTAACACAAATTCACCGAATATTCCATGTATCTCAGACTTACGGTTCAAAAGTTACAAGAGATGTAACGAAAGTAGACCAATGGGTTGCCGAACTATAAACAGTACAGCGGGTAAAGTTGTTTTTATTACAAATAGGGCATGTGGGGTATCAAATGAAAGGTCTCGACGAGCACTATTCAAATATCCTAATATTACTTATTATTTCTTTTCCCTCTTACTTGGAAGCGCTCTCCAACACCGTCATCTGATCAGGAAACCTAAGAAGTTCCTTGTTTTTTCTCTGAGCCTGCAAGGCGACGTAGTGTATCAAATTCATTCCTGGTTTATTAGCCCTAATATCAGTCAATTTTTGCAAGGATGATAATTTGACTCCTGCTGCGTTTCCGGCGTATCCTCCGGAGTTTAGGAAATTTCCGGCAACGAGGACCATGTATAAAACTTCTTGCAGGGATTTGTTGGTCATCAGATCTAGAAAAAGGACTCTTAGTTTATTAGAATATTAATAGAAACTAGTTTATTAAAAAATTAATAGAACTAATGTAGAATATATTATACTTTTTTGACAAAATTTGTAAAATTTTTTGGTTGGGTTTTTGGAATTTTGGGTTCCTTACCGTCTCCTGCGTAAATCATGGCGTTGATGCTGGGTTCTAAGTATCCTAAATTTGTAGCGAATTCTTCTTTTAGTAGCATGCTTTCTATCCGTAATTTGTAACTGAAAGAAAAATATTTTTGCAATTAAATTCTGACTCTACTGTCGAGCTAAAAAAGACAGAAACGAAAAGAAAACTCTACTGATGAGCAATTTTTAATAAGAACTCTAGTGGTGCTTGGCATCGTGCCTTAAGGCAAATTGTTGAACTTTCCGTAACGAACTTTTGAAATATTAACAAATTTTATTTTAGATTTTTTTCTTAATTTAGAAATTTTTAACAAAATTTCACTTCGATTTTTTGAAAATATTGAAATATTTGAAAAACTGTTTTTTTGTGGAATTTTTATTTATTTTTGGAAATGTTGAATTATTTAAAAATTCATTTTTGATTTTTTTGAAAATCTTGAAAAAACGCATTTTTGAAAAATGTTAGAAAATCTTTGTCTTTTATTTAGATTTTTTTGAAAATTTAGATTCCGAAAAATCCGCATTTGTTTTAAATTCTTGAAAATTTAGATTTTTAAAACAATATTGACATTTTTTGAAACTTTTAGATTTTTTGGAAAGCCTATAAATTTTTGAAAAAACTGTTTTTTGTCTTTAATTCCGTTTCTTTTTAATATTTTCTATGATTTTGAAAATTTTCAGACAAAATGTTATTTAAACAAAAAAAAACTATACTGACGTACAAAATTAAAAAAGAGGAAAAAGGGACTCTACTGACGAACAAAATTAAAAGAGACAGAAATAGAACTCTACTGACGAGCAAAATTAAGAAAGAGATGAAAAGGACTCTACTGACAAGCAAAATTAAAGGAGAGAATAATAGGACCGTACTCACAAACAAACTATAAAAAAATGGAGAGTTCTACCATTCGGGTGTTGGAATTTGAAAAAAGCAAAAAACTTGAAATTTTTTAGATTTTTTTAATATTATTGTCATTTTTCAAAAAACTTGAAAAAATTGCATTTCTCTGTAATCTTTTGAAATTATTTTTTAAATAGTGACTTGTTTGAAACTTTTGTAAATTTGAAAAAACTGGACTTTTGAAAATTTTGAACTTTTTTTACTATTATAAAATTTTGAAAATTTGAAAAAACCATATTTTTTATTTTTTTGTAAATTCAGATTTTTTTAAAAACATTGTCATTTTTAAAAAAAATTCAATTTGCAGCTAGATTAAAAGAGAAGACAAAAGGTCTCTACTGACGAGCAAAATTGAAAGAGAAATAAAAATGACTCTACTGACGAGCAAAATTATTAGAGAATAAAAAAGGACTCTACTGACTAGCAAAATTTACAAAAATTAAAAGAACTGTACTGGCGAGCAAAAGAAAAGACAAAAGGACACTACTGATGAGCAAATTTAGAAAGAAAGCAAAAAGGGACTCTACTGACTATCAAAATTAAGAGCAACAAAGGAACTCTACTGACGAGCAAAATTTTTAGTGGAATAAATGAAACCACGTGACTAGCAAAATAAAATTAAGAGTGGAAGGAACTATACTGATGAGCAAATGTAAACAAAGAAAAAATATATGATATCATAATTTAAAAAAAACTTGAGTTATAAAAAAAATAATTTTTTTGTTGATTATCGAAAATAATTGCGACTTTGATTTTAATTCTAGATAAAATTCAATTAAAGCTCACTTATATACTTTAAATAGATAATTTTAACTTTGCAATTCAGTTTACATAAGTCTTATAAATATTAGACAATGTTACAGTATTTATTTTATTCTTACAGTATTTATATTTATTCTGAAAACATTCAATATTCCTCGAACATTTCGTTACGGTACGGGAAGTTCCAGCAATTTGCCTTAAGGCACGATGTCATACACCACTAGTTACAATTATATTTATATTATCTCTTACTTTGGCAGTTGTATGAGTTGCATAAGGAACTTTTCGGCGTTTCCCAGTTTCGTCCTGTCGCCGTCGAAGGATTTTAGCATATCGAGTTCGTCGACTTCGGGAAGGATTTTCAGAAGGCCTCGTAACTTTTCGGCTCCGATGTGTTCGTGCAAACCGTCTCGAATCAGTTGGATGATGTCGTCGTTGGAACTGAAAAAGGATTAAAAGAATAAAAATTACTTATAGATAAAAAGTCGGTTGATTCGTACGCCTGAAATCATGGACTAAAAGTTGTATCTAAACATACATATATACTAGTGATGTAACGAATGTTCGCATTCGCATTCGCATTCGCGAATATTCGCATATTTTTCGATATTCGCATTCGCATTCCTATTCGCAAAAAACGATGCGAATATTTAGCGAATGTATTTAACAAACAAAAGGAAATTATTATATAGTTGCAAGTGAAATGATAACACAACTGATAAGATTATATATTTTTATTTAATCATACTTATTTATTTTTCCATTCCACTGTATATTTTCTAAGAATTAAATATGATAATGAAATAAACTTAAAAAACCAAATAATGAATACTTGACTATTTCTAAAAAAGCTTTTTACAAGAAAAAAGTAATATTTATTTCTATTTAAACAAAAGTAAAGTTCTAATATTCATAATGTTAACATTTGGTTTCAATTGCACATTTTTCACTAATTTTCTTTTTCTATGAATTAAAAATAATGAAATATAAACTACACAATTATAGTTTTGCTAATAACAAGTTGACACAGTTGACTATTAAAATAATGAAAACTCGCTGTAACTTCAAATTCTTAGTAATTAAATTGAAGTAAAGGAATGTTAAATTTTAAAAATAAAGCTACACTGAAAACTCTTTCACTGGGGAGACTTGTGGGTGGAGTTACCAAATATTCTCTGGCTACAGGAGAAAGAATACCATATTTATTGCTATTAACTTTCCACCAAAGAAGTGGGTCTTCTTCATTTTCAATACGTTTATCCAATACATATTCAATAATATTTTTTTAATTAAAACTTCTACAGGATTTGGAATTTCATTTTCTAATTTTTCCTCGCTTTCACTTGAGTCCATCATCATTTTCATATTTTCTTTTAGTGATACAGATTTTTCTGAATGACTGGCACTGGAGCCAAAGTTTTCCTTAACTTGATTAGTCATTTTAGGACGCTTTGAATTTGAACATAAAGGAAAGCTTAAGTCCTCATTTCCAATTAAATCCATAATATTTTTCACGACCTGATCTTTGGTTGAAGGATTTTTGAAAAATTTCGCTTTGTACCGTGTTTCTTGTAGATTAGCAAGTTCATCTTGAGCTACATTAGAGTGATAAAAATGTGTTGCTATCTTTTTACATTTGAAATGTCAAACATTTTGCGCGCGTTTTATTTGAAATTTAACATTCGCATTCGCATTCGCATTCGCGAATATTGAAGATGAATACTCGCATTCGCATTCGCATTCGCGAATGTGAAAAATTCAACATTCGTTACATCACTAATATATACACATACATCAATTTTTTCTAAGTTATGCCAAAATGTTCAGAAACCTCTGAAACGTAAAGATATGCAAAAATTTTCATTTTCGGTAAGGGAAGTTAATAATTAGTTAGTATTTATAATATATATGCAGTTTGTTCATCAGTAGAGTCCTTTCTTTCATGTTCAGAGTTTGCTCTGTAGAGTCCCTTTTTTCAAAACTTCAAATTAGTATTTTTTCTCAAATTTTCAAGTTAGAATTGATAGAGCTTTCTGTTCCTTTTTAATTTTGCTCGTCAGTAGAGTCCTTTTTCCTCTTTCTTAGTTTCGCTCGTCAGTAGAGTCCTTTTTCCAAATGTTTGGGTTAGCTCATTAGTAGAGTATTTCTGTCTCTTTAAATATTGCTCGTCAGTAGAGTCAATTAGTTAGTATTCATAATATATATATGCAGTTTGCTCGTCAGTAGAGTCCTTTTCTTTCATGTTTAGGGTTTACTCAGTAGAGTCTCTTTTCTCAAATTTTCAAATTAGAGCCGGTAGAGCTTTTTTCCATTTTAATTCTGCTCGCCATTTTTCCTCTTTTTTAATTTTATTCGTCAGTACAGTCCCCTTTACCCTTAATTTTATTTTGTTTGCCAGTAGAGTTCATTCCATACTTAATTATATTTTGCATGTCAGTAGAGTCCTTTTTGTCTCTTTTCATGCTTCTTGTCAGTTGAATCATTTTTTTCTGGTTTATTTTGCTCATCAGTATAGTTTCTTTAACCCTAATTTTTTAGGTTGCTCATCAGTAGAGTCCTCTCATACTTAATTTTCAAGTTTGCTTGTCAATAGAGTCCTTTTCTTTCATGTTCAAGATTTGCTCAGTAGAGTTTTTTTTCTCAAAATTTCAATTGGAGCCGGTAGAGCTTTTTTCCATTTTAATTCTGCTCGCCACTTTCCTCTTTTTTAATTTTGTTCGTCAGTACAGTTTCTTTTTTCCTCTTTCTTTATTTTGCTTGTCAGTAGAGTCCCTTTTCCAATTTTTTAAGTTTGCATGTCAGTAGAGTCCTTTTTGTCTCTTTTAATGTTTCTCGTCAGTAGTCTTTTTTACCCTCTCTTAAATTTGCTTGTCAGTAGAGTTTCTTTTACCCTCAATTTATTTTGCTCGTCATTAGAGTTCTTTTTTCTCTTTATTTTATTTTGCTCTTCAGTAGAGTCCATTTTTTTTTCAAATATTAAAGTTTGCTCGTCAGTAGAGTCTTTTTTTCATATTTTAAGTTTGTGCAGATGTAACGAAGTTCGCTGGATCTTGATAAATCGTTTGAACCTGCCGCTTCCTCTTCCGCGACCAGAAGTCTTGTTCGATCTGGTTGAAGTTGTGAAAAATCCGGACCAGACACCAAGTCACATCACATTCTTGCAATATTTCAGGATTCCACAAGAAATCTGCAAAATAAAATGTTCGTTAGAAAAATTAAATGTTATATGCCAGGCTTTTAGACACAACACGTTTGATTCTTTAGATGGTTAAACACATCCCTTAAACATAAACCAATATGCCACATCGCACGTGTAGTGTCTATTTTTTATATGAATTTGTTTGTTAATTAATAAGTTAACATTATTACCTATTAGCTCTTGTGTCAGCAAACAAGTAAACATCACAAGCGCAATGTACGAAAAAACATTCAGTATGTAAAATGGAAAATATAGTAGCTTACATAAACGAATAATGGGCAATATAATATTAACAAAGTTAGGAAACAGTATTTTAAACACAAGTTCAAATGAAAGATTACTGAAAAAAAGATTTGTTATACAAATATTATTATCACAATGATGTTAGTGAACAATCCAATAATGTAAAAGATTTGTCATCAAATATAATTTATTCATTACTCAGTAATTATCTGACATAAATATATTCTGCTTTAAATAATATGTAACATTCTTCGAATAATAAAATTTTAAAATAAAGATCTATATCTCAACGAGTATCACACAAATGTAATAAACAAACTACTCAGACTTGTAGTATAACTCTACTAACAAATCGTAAAACTAATCAAAATTTTCTTTCTTAATAGAAGGCAATATAGACCATGCTTTCTCTGCATGTGGTCCTTCAAAGTTTTATTTTGCGTAAAAGATCTATCGCATATGGTACATGTAAATTGACGGCTGGAGTGCATTCGTACTTCGTATGACGATACAAATTTCGTTTATGATGATAACCTCTGCCGCAGGTTACACAAATGTAAGGCAATTCTTCAAAATAGGTTCTCGGTTTTCTGCCACGCCTGCGCGGCCTGGAGGTGATTCGAAAATATCATATTTAATTAACTTTGAGTCGTACAAATCAATGTTCTGCATATATCGGAGCCTGCCTCTTGTCAGTGGGGCGCTGTTTGAAAATAGAAAATTTTCATTCTGAACAAAACCTGAAATGAAGCGAAATGGTTAATATTGAACTTTGAAATGAGTCGTCACTCATGCGGAAAGATAGAGCTGAAAGTAGAGGTAACAACCTGGACGGACACTGCACAATTTGGAAAGAAAGTAAGAGAATAGAATAATTTTTTAACAGCATTCTGGACAAAAGACACAAAGAATAAAAATACATGGACAAAATACATAGTATATAAACGTAAATAGACATAAAATAATAATAGTAGTTGAAGAAATAAAATTAAAAAAATAAAATACTTCTTATTAAAATAGTTTTATTTGAAATTTATATATATATTCCCATAAATATACGTATTTATCATAAAAATCATACTTATATATATTAGGGTGGTCCTTAATATAGATTTTTAGAATTTCTATGCTCCCAGGGTTCAAATGCTTCCAAATTGATAAAACAAAATTCACTTAAAGTTTTAGCTCTTAATATTAACTTTAAGACAGTCTGCACTCCAACCAAAGTTTCTTATGGAAATACAATGAAAAAACTCCATTTATTTTTTAGAATTTTTAACTCAAACAATGAATCAAAAGTAACAATTCGTGTCATATTTTATTAAAAATTCGACCTTCTACAAAAAGGTTTCTTACAATTTTTTCGTTAAATCTATTGGCTTAAGAGTTATTCGAGGTCAAATATTAATTTTGGAATTTCAAATCGTTTCAATTTTTTTGAACATGTGTCAATACTTTTTATCATGATCAAAATTTTTGAGAATAACATTGTATTAGATTATTTTAATCACAAATAAAAAATTTACGACAAAAGTTTTACATAATTTATATAATAAGAATTACTTAACAATCATTCTTGATAGTATTACTAAATGTAGAATAATTGAACTCAAATAACTTGTAAACAAATAGATTTACAAAGTATTATAAAAAAGCCTTTTATTAGACATCGAATTTTCATAAAACGTAACATAAATTGTTTTTTTTTTAATTATTTGGCGCTGAGTTATAAAATTTAAAAAACAATGCATTTTTTACCATGTTATCTCGGGCGGACTATCCTAAATTAATATTAAGACCTAAAACTTTCAGAGATTTTTTTTACATAAGGAAGCATTTGAGCCCCTGAAAAGCAAGAAATTCGAAAATATCCATATTAAAAACCACCCTAATATATATAATATATATATATATAATATATATATATATATTATATATGTGTGTGTGTGTGTGTGTTATGTGAGTGTGTAAATATAATTATATATTAATGGAATTTGTATTAAAAGTCTTTGAGTTTATATAAGCCTATCACGTTCTGTGTATCTAGTGTGTAAATA